CGAGCCCCCCACGTCGTCGGAGTAGGCTACTCTTGAGACTTCGCGTTTGGCTGTGAAGGGTAGTGGTGGTTTAATCTCGGCTGTGGCCGAGACATCTCGGCCCTGGCCAATCTGGGGTGTGGTCGAGACTTCTTGGCCCTGGCCCGACCAAGGAACTGGTTTTTTTTTTTTTTTTTTTTTTTTAACCAGGCGCGGCGCAGTGCGGCGCGACTCGCGGCCCAAAAAAAACAAAAAAACAAAAAAAAACGGCCATCTGCCTGACTGAACTGCAGTTCCAAACTCCACTGTGCGACTTTTCTGCAAAGTGGAGTTTTGACTGCTTAGTAAACTCCCCACGGGACTGGAATTAAAAACGACAGTTTGAACTGCATTTAGATACTCAAACCAAGACTGCGCCCTAGTTTTCTCTTTTTTTTTCCTGGAGGGAATGGGTTCGGGCAGGAAAAGCGGCCTGCGGCTCCCCATTAACACCATCCCCACTCTCTCTCTCTCTCTCTCTCTCTCTCTCTCTCTCTCTCTCTCTCTCTCTCTCTCTCTTTTTTCTATCTATCTATCTATCTTTCTATTGAATTATTCTGAGTCCGTAAATGCCCTTCAGGTTCTTTCAAACCACCACTACCTCCGAGCCTCTTTTGGCCGAGGCGGAGTAGAAATGCATGCCAATGACTCGGGTCCCGTCTTGGGTCTCGTCTTGGGTCTCGTAAAAAGCGAAACTGGGTAAGGCTCCCAGATCTTTTTTGGTTCACTCCGGGTAGACTGTGAGGACCCCGGCCTCGTACATGCTTTATTCAATATAAGCCGTGGGCATTTAAAAAAAAAAAAGAAAAAAAAAAGCCAAGCTTTGCGGAAGCACCAGTGTGACCTTTTTTGTTTTGTTTTGGCTGGCACCCACTTCGGTCAGGTGTCGCCCGGCCTCTGCCGGCCTCCATAGAATACCCTATAGGCTAGAGAGAGAGAGAGAGAGAGAGAGAGAGAGAGAGAGAGAGAGAGAGAGAGAGAGAATGACACGTCTCAAGGTGCTGCCACAAGGCAACATTTCTTTTTGGGGGGCAAGTACGGTCAAGTCACAAATGCGCAAGTTTAGCAGTTCTCAAAAGTGCTCCACGTTCCAAATGCGCAAGTTTAGCAGTTCTCAAAAAATGGCAAAAAAGGCACAACGTGTTAGACGGGACAAAGGAAAAGAAAAGAAAAGAGAAGAAAGACAGCATCACGAATGTGACAGAATCTCCTGTGTCATAAAGACACAGGGAGGGTGTGGTGTCAGACGGGAATGGGAAGAAAAAAAAAAAAAAAAAAAAAAAAAGAACAAATAAAAAAAGAAGTTTAAAAAAAAAAAAAAAAAAAAAAAGTGCGTGTTGTATATACCTTTCTCTGGCTTTTGGCTAAGATCAAGTGTAGTATCTGTTCTGACCAGTTAAAAAAATAATAATAATAATAATAATAATAATAATAATAATAATAATTTGCGTGTGCAGACTCGGGCCATGACTGCTGTGCCATTTTGTCTTTTCTTGCCTATTTCAAACTACAAGTGTAACCCGGCCACAGTTTCCTCTTTCTCTTGCCAAGTGACATTCTTTTTTCTTCTCTTGTTTTTCATTCATTCATTCATTCACTCATCATTCATTCATTCATTCTTCTTCTTCTTCTTCTTCTTCTTCTTCTTCTTCTTCTTCTTCTTCTTCTACAATTGATTGTCTGATTTTTGCCCTGTGTGGGAGAGTTGAGCTGTTCTCCCCCGTAACATCTTCTTCTCTTTCTTTTAAAACGAAAGAAAGCAAAAGGGAGAGAGAAGGAGGGGAGGGGAGCGGAGGGGAAGGGGGGGGGGGGGGAGGTACTGCAATCTCCAATTCTGGAGACTCAGTGGAGAGTCCTCTCTTTTTCTTTCTTCCTTTCATTCTATAATAATTTTTTTCTTTACTGTCCTACCACTAATTCCGTATTCTGTTGCCTGCCTGAGTTTGGTTTGCATTAAACATAACTGAAAAACACAAGATGTAGGTTGGGTTGCAAATCCAAACTTGATTTTTTGACGTCTCCCCAGCTACCTCTTCTTTCTTTTGCTTTTCGAAAACCGTGCAGCACCATTTCTCTATTTACATGACAACATTGTGTCATCCTTGCGCAGGGGCCATGCCCAAGGATGCACACACTGGAAGGAGTTTTTTTTTTTTTTTTTTTTACACTCGTCCGACCGCGGGCCCACTTTAGGACCAACAAGTTATGGCAAGAACTGTCTTTCTTGATTTCAGAGAACTTCCATGCCTGTAAGGCTGTAACCAGACGGACGTAAGTCCGTACACAGACACACACATCAGTCAAGTGCATCCTGGGCAGACTGTCCTTGTCTGAACATCCCATGAGTCGGTGAAAGTCCCACCAAACAGTCTGACACAGTCATCATGCTGTTCATGCTGTTCTTTGTGCATGGGGAACATGACAACACACACATACGCGCACAACAACAACAACAACAACAACAACAACAACAACAACAACAACAACAACAACAAAAAAAAAAAAAAAAAAAAAAAAAAAAAAAAAAAAAAAAAAAAAA